CGCCGCCGAAGCACTGGGCGCGGCGTCCGCCGCTCGGGCCTCGCGGGGCGGCGGAGGGATCCGACGGACGCGCGCCCTGGCACTGCCGCGGACGGATCGGGCCGAGGGCTGACGCCGGCGTCCGAAACCCAGGAGCAGCGCGATCGCTCCCCCGCGCGCACGGGTGGCCGCGGTCAGCACAAGTGGGCGGGGCGGCCGCCTCTCGCGACAGCCTGGGCCGGTCAGGCCCGCCCCCCATGCTGATTGGTCGAGAGACCTGTCTGCGGCCGGGGATTGTTCAGGTCCAGCCAGCCGATTGGCTTGTACTACGACCACGCCTCCGCGGGGGACTGCCGGTCACGTCGGACCCACCCCGTCCCGGCCCCCGGGGCATGACGCGCCCGGATTGGTCGGCGGAGGTCGGCGAGGCAGAAAATCCGGAACGGATTTCTGTTCGCTTTTGTTCCCGCAGATGTACATGGATCCTTGTTTTGAGGGCGAAGCTACGAGCTGGCGTCACTGCTTTACTTCCTAGCGCGGGGCCGAGGGGTGGCGGTGAACTTGGAAGAGCTGCTGGGGCGGGGGTCCAGAACTCCGGGTTCCCACCTTCGATCTGTGCCCGCTGGGCTGTGTGCTCTTGGACCAGTCACTTGGCCTCTCTGAGCCCCGGCCTCCTCCCCGGGAAACTGAGGGTAATAATGAGCGTTGGGCTGGGAGAAGGCGGTGAGATCACAGAGGGCCTGGCCTTTGCGCCCCGCTGCGGGCATGGGAGGGGAGCCTCGCACCTCCAAATCCAATCCCCAGGATCCTCCAGGCCGAAGTAGGGAAACTGAGGTGCAGGGGCAGGCGACTTGCCTCCCTTGGTTCCTGAGAGACCTTCTCTGGTGTCCCCGGGGCCCGACCTTCTGTGGCCCCGCATGAGCTGGTCCAGAGCCCCTGTCTGCCCATCAAAGCATTGCCCTCCCTGGCTCTGGGATGGGACAGGAACGGTGGGTCCTCCAGGATACAGGCTGCCCAGGTCCTGCCTGGAGCAGGTAGCACCGCCCACCGCCCTGGGCAGCAGAGGGCCCTGCCAGCCTGCCTGCACCCAAAACGAATTCTCCGCGGTCCCCAGAGCTCTTGGTTGGCTCAAGAGCCCCAGAGAGGGTCAGGTCACAGGGCCCGGTGTCCCCTTCCTCCCCCCAGGCTGCTGCACATTAATGACAGAACTAAACCTGGTCCTCTAAGGCCTCATTCTCTCCTGTGACCCGGTGGAGGTGGGCATCCTCTGAGGCAGCACAGGAACATGGTGGGACAGTTAAAGATCCGTGTGCTTTCGGGTGAAGAGGTGATGACTCTTTGGCTTGAGAGAGTCTTAGAGCCTACCTGCACCTGGACTCCAGGCCCTGCAGGCAGCCGTACCACCTGGGCCATTTCGGACCCTCAGTTTCCAAATCTGTAAAAGGGAGCCAGGAGCCCAGTCTGCCAGCTGGGAGCAGTAGTTGGAGATGCTGCCCAGACACCCTTGCTACTGGGACAGCTGAGGCCTGAGCTGGGAGCTCAGGGACCCCAGTTCCCCATGACCTTCTTGCTACCGCTTGCTGTAGTACTGAACAAGGAATGATGTGTCCACTGCAGATTCCAAGCTCACCTGGAGCCTTCAGACCTGGTCTTTGGGGAAAGCAGGAACTTTACAGGTTCAATCAAGATAAGAAGCAGATAAGCTCAGACGATGAGACAAGCCCACGCTCGATGAGACAGAACCAAGCCACTGTGGGCTGTGTAATTCAGGGGCAGAGGTTGGGGCCAAGGGACACCTGGGGCACACAGAGTCTGACAGAGGAGGTATCCTGCCCTGGGCTCTCCACGGGAGTCTGGCCCACTACAACCCAGCTTGGCCTGCAGGACAGGGAGAGGACATGTCAGAGTTTTAGACCCCATGCTTGGAGGTCGCCCATCAGGGCAATCATAGGAAACCAAGGCAGTGTCACTTCCCCTGCCCTGGAGCACAGCTGTGCTTGATTCACTTCTGTAGCTTGTAAGCCCCTGCCCTGCAGAACAGTAAGACCCAGGCCCTCTTGAAGGAGCAACAGCCAGGACTGCACTCTGAGACCCCCACAGTCCCACAGCTCTGTTACTATCCATCCTCAGAAGTGGGCGGACACACTGATGGTCCAGCTAATCCCAGCATCATCCAGTTCTGGCCTGAGGCTCTGAGTGAACCCAGGGTCCCCTTTCTCTCCTTGCCTCTGGCCAAGGTGCATGGTGACCCAAGGTGGCCAACAGGGCAGACCATCTCCCCCTGCCAGCCATGGCCTGCCCAGCTGTGAAGGGCTTGTGGGTCTCTGGGAGGCAGTTGCCAGAAGGCCCAGACCCAGGCTAGGGCAGAGGGAAGGCAGCTTCCACAAGGCCTGCAGAATCCGGGGTGGCTGATGTACAGGCGCCTGCCTCAGGGCCGCTGGTCTTCTGTAGGGCTGCGCAGAGTGCATGTTGTTTTCAAGTGAGTGATAGAAATCTAGGGTTTACCATAAATTCCCAGTCAGGTGATTTTACAACAAAGGTGTGAGCCCAGGCCTGGGTTTTCCCGTGTCTGAATTGGTGACCTGACGCATTGGGCTGCAGGAGGGAATGGCCAGGCCCCCCAACACCAACATCAGTACCCCAATTTCCTTCTTATTCAGACCCTGGCCAAGAGGAGGAATGTGGAGGCCCCATGGCAATTAGAATGAGGGTCCTTGGACCCAGGAGTTGTAGGACACACCGGTGTATGGGGGGGGTGCGTCTGTGGTTGTGGTTGCTGAGTGAGACTTCCCCTCATCTGAGCCCTGCTTTCCTCTCTGGGATTAAAAGGGTACCAGGACCCAGCCCCCCTCAGGTGGGGGCTGTCAAGCAGGTGGACCCCTGGACACCAGGACAGGCCTCCTGCCTGGTCTCAACAGCGTGTTGTGACCCTACTGCACTGTTGGAACTGGAGTTTGACCTCCGTCAACTGCCCCCCACCCTGCCCCTTCCAGGATGAGATCGCACACATTCCATATCACTTACTAGAAACCTGCAAACTGTGGGCTTCGAAAGTGTCTCTTGGTGCCTGCTTTCCCTGGCAGCTGCTCCTGACAAAGTCCACTTGAGGTTTTAAGCAGGCAGTTGTTCCCGAGGGATGCCCCACCCTGGTCTCCATACAGGGTGTGGTCTTGTCCCCCAGACCTGCTCCTGGGGCAGCAGGCATTAGACAGACAGTGTCTCCCAGGGGGCACTACCTGGGTACTTGTTCCCACATGGAGAGGTCTAGCCCCGCCCAGGAAGGAGCCAGGCTCCCTGATTTTTGTGTGCGCCTGGTGAGTCCTGGACCCCGTGGGTTGGCGTCAACAGAAGTGACCTGCTTTAGAAACAGGGTCTTGCTGTGTGGCCCAGGTTGGCCTTGAACTTCTGGGCTCGTTCAGCCCGCCTACCTCTGCCTGCCAGTACCGTTGTACCCGGCAAAATGACATTTTACCATTTCTATTTCACATCTTGCTCCTTTCTACCAACAATTGCATACCAACACACAGACAGACAGACAGACAGACACAGACAGACACATTACACACATTTTCCTTCTGGAGTATTTCCAAGTAAGTAAATTGGAGGCAAAATAAAGAAGCATGCACATATAAATTATTGTGCTGTTTTGACTGTGAAGTAACGAATGTACTTGTAAAGTGATTACATATCACGGGAAAATAATGCAGAGTGTCACAGAGCTGTCCCTGCTCGGTCCAGCCAATTTTACACTATCTTTTTCTAGACCCTTTGGTACTCATGTCTCTGTAAGTTCCTACTTTTACAACACTCCACATTTGTCAGCCTGTGTTTTGTTTTGTGTCACTGGGTTTTGGAGACAGGGCCTCGCTGTGTTGCCCGGGCTGGCCTCGATCTCCTAGTGACCCTCCTGTCTGAATCCGGCCTCCCCAGTGTGGGCTCTCAAGCATGCACCACCGCTGCTGGCCCTGCTCTGATTCCCAACACACCCTGGATGTGGTCTGTGTCAGCGACTCTCCTCTCCCTCTTGGTTTGCCAGGGCAGCTGGAGCGGGCCAGGCCCTATTGCCCAGTCCCCGAGCACTGGGCACGCAGGTTGTCCCTACCGAGGTGCTCTAAAGGACAGTTGGGTTGCCCTGAGACAGATCCACCCCTTCTGCTTGTGGGAAAGTATCAAGTTTAAGAGCCAGGGAAGTTGGGGGAGCCAGGCGGCTCTGCAAGGCCCTGCGCGCACACCAGCCCTCTAGGCGCACCCGGGCCTGGCGGCTGAGGCAGCGTCCAAGGGCAGGTCGAGCTGTCGGGGCGCCGGGAACTGCAAGCGTGGAGCCCATGCACCAGCCCCCCTGTGAGCAGGCACCCGGAAGCCAGACCTGCTGCAATAGGGCCGCGACTGCTTCAGAACGCATCCGTGAATGCCGCTTAAAGCCATCTCCAGAATCTGGTGTGCGTAATGCGTGTGTGTCCCACAGCTGGGAAAGCTTCAGGCCTGTAGGCGGGTCGGCATTTGGAAATAGCCTGCATCTGCCACACTAGTGGCAGGCAGAGTCTGCTGTGTCTGCTCCGAGCCGTAAGGTAGAAGCTGCCAGGGAAGCAGTTTTGTATCTT